TTTCATACACTGAGTATGTGCTTCATTTATATCCAGTTTGGTCAATTTCTGCTTCTGCATCAATACAGGCATTTCCATTATAGCTTTTCGTATACATACATGGAATTGTTATCAGATAATTATGACTGCTAGTATAGTAATATTTAATTTGTTAGTGGCAAAATACCATATTGCAGTGGTAATCAAAATTTGTTACAGGCCCATACATGGTCTTAGAGTACTGCAGAAATGGTTCACTGCGTGACTGGTTGTTAACACAGAAGGCAAAGGGAGGTGAACTGAGCGCCGACACTGCTGATCGTATGACGGAGTATGCTGTACAAATAGCAGCAGGAATGGAACATCTGAGTAATAACCTGGTAATTAATTATGTCACAGAGATATTTTCAGAGATCCAGAGATATTTTCTGACAGTCTTCCAAATTATCTTTGTGGAGCTATCCTCCATTTTTTGACCGTCTTCTGACAGAAAAAGATAGATACCATTCAATGTAAACTTGAAAATCTGACCGTCTTCTGGAAGACCCGGAAGACGGCCTAAATCCGCCCCTGAATTTTATGTCGACTTCATGATCAAGATCAGTCTTATTTCATGACCTGTTCAGGATCCAATTTTTAAGCTGAAAGTTGAAAACTTCTAAAACTTAAGAAACTTGATAATTACAGTGTTTTCAATCCCTGCAGTCAACCTCGCCTGGATATTTGGGGGAGGGGGGTACACAGTTTCTTGTAGATAACTTTTTTTTTGTAAAATAAGTAGTACTGGTTGAGAGGATTTACCTGATTTCAGTGAATTTAATACCTGAGGCTATCATGCCCTTGTTTACTACAGTCACTGTTATGTGTTCTTTATCTGTCCCGAATTTCTTTTACCAAGTTGTATATTAAATTGTTGCATTTTGTACTTTTTCTCTTTCAAGATTGTCCACAAGAGACTGATGTCTAAGAATGTCCTCCTCAATGGTAAAATGGTTGCCAAGGTGATGGGATTTGGTCCTGAGGGAAAAGATGCAGCCAAAAACAAGGTATTTTGCTTTCTAACAAAAGTGTGTAGTTATGAGAAAATATGCTTTATAAATAATGGTTTGATATTTTTCTTACAAAAATTTTGTTATCTGTTCCATATTGATGAAAAAATTGGTTAATGGTTATCATAGTCTCTTCATATTTTCAGAGTCGTTTACCCACCAAATGGATGGCCTTGGAAATTCTGCAGGATCCTCAGCTGAAATATACCACTGCGTCTGATGTCTGGGCCTTTGGTATCACTTTATGGGAGATATACAGCCTGGGTGGGTCTTCAGCAAAAATGATCTGTATTAAAATGTTTGAAGTTCATGGTTGATTGAGCTCTGCATGTTCTAAGCAAATATTCTTAGCTTTCTAATATATTCAGTAGTGATTACTAAGTCAACTGCATGCAGCTTGTTTACATCGAAACTGACTGTCAAACGCAATGTCACATCTAACACATTACAATAACCTGATTGTGTTGACATTTCAGGTGACCTTCCTTATCCAACTGGACACAAGGACAAACTGATAACCCTGCTGGAGAGTGGAACTCGCCCAGACAAGCCTGTAGAGTGCCCAGATGATATGTAAGTGTGTTTGACCAGCTGAGCCTCCAGTTGTTCAAAGTGTGTTAGTTGTGATTTTGATATGCATCACTGCAGCCTAACTCTGCTGAATGCTAATATGTTATACATTTTATAAGCTCACAGATCAAGAGGATGACAATATTGCTACAAGTCCACAGATCAAAAACTCTCTGCTATTCAACAAATATGATCCATTGCAGCTACAACCAAGTGATGCTGAAATGCATGGACCATGATCCAAGCAAGCGTCCATCATTCCAACAGATTAAGGACCAGTTGAATGATTTCTTCCACCCTCCTCCAGATGATAGTGGCATATACTATGGTTTATAAGAGTAGCTGTGAACATGTGTCTTGCACCTTGACATGTTCTTTTCGTTGGAGATGGAATTAGGAACTAATTACTCTCTGGAGATTGAAATAAGGACTGATTACTGGACACTGATAAAACGATTTTATTAGAAGACTTGAAGTAGCTGCCTTTGCTGCTTAAAATGTATTTGCATACAATATATATTATCCCCACCTTTTCATGCAGAAAATGTACCTGTATTGTCCCCTTACCATGCTCTTGAACAATGATAATAGTGATCAGTAATCCGAAGTAACTTAAGTCAAAGTACTTGTAGTAGTTTTCTTCCTGACTTCATTCTTTTTTACAGAAGTATTGCAATTTAGTGGTCTGCCTCTTAAGTCATATTGCATATACCAATAACTTGCATGTTGTATGGAAACTATACATATTCTGGATGGAAAATGAACAATNAATAATACCTGTCCTGGTATGAGCAGCACACAGCGAGCATCTGGGTGACAGTCATTGTGTACTGTACACACTGCAATAGGGGAGCAGGACTTCCCATCACCATGCCAACCAGGGTCACAAACACAAACACTTTTACCTGGACCTGTTTGTATGCACTTGGCCTGAAAATGTATTGGGATTTGTTTGTCTTAAGATTTTCTTCCATATCAAATACTTTTTGGTAAATTTCTATTATGAAGTTGCCTTAAGATTTTATTAATTAACTATATTCATTGTAAAAAGCAATATGATTCCCTTGTCCTATCAGTGTCCTATAGCAAAATTAACCCTACATCCAGCTTTGCATTTAAATTTGATTTCACATATGTAATTTATCTATGGATAAATACATTTCTCTCTCTCTCTCTCTCTCTCTCTCTCTCTCTCTCTCTCACACACACACACACACACACACACACACACACACCTGTGGATGGCAGCCGCCTCTGTCTGGTAATGCACAGGGATCAATGGGGAAACATTCTCTCCCATTCCCTGTGTACCCAGTGTTGCAGGAACACATGTATCTTGGTCTAGGACCTAATGGTAGCAGACTTAATAAGGGCAGTAAACCTCCTAAGGGTTGTCTGAAAAAAATATATAACAGCAAATAATGTAAATAAATCATTGTTAATGTAAAAAGATGAGAACAAATTTAGACTGTTTCCTCCATTGTTTATTACCTGAAAACTGTTTTGCCAGGAGGATTTACAGGGCATATACAGATTTCAAAATGACACTGGCTCCATTCAGATCGAGCCGAGTGCTAGCTAGGCCACGCCTTAATTATGGCAGGCCTACATGAAAGGAAGACTGCTTAATCCTGTAATGGTCTTTACGCCTCTCACACGTCTCCCCACGTGTCGTCCCTGCAGGGGCACAGTAATTAAACCTCAGCTCAATTTAACTGGTCGAGATCCGGCACGTGGAGAGGCGTGTGAGAGGCGGAGAGACCATTACAGGATTCAGCAGTCTTCCTTTCATATAGGTCAGCCATATTTAGGTCATGACCTAGCTAGCACTCGGCTCTTCTCAATCTGAATGAGGCCACTGATTATAAAACAGAAAATACATATGTCACATCATATGCCCTCTTGTTATGTCGTGCACAAAGTAAGGCATGTAGTAAAGCAAATTGTAGCATTAGATTACAATAACATAATCAATAAATATATAACAATTTCAATACAAAATTAATTGGTATATACGTAATACATTCTCCAATAGGTAAACAACTCTGGGCAAAATAGTCGTTGGGCAATGAAAGATGGAGGAAACAGTCTAAATTTGTTCTCTCATCCCCTTATATATAAGCTCCCCAGCCATGGGTAGAGCACTTTTTCATGTGAACAGTCAATATTTTTTCTATACACATATGTGATGTATATATATTTTTAGTTTTATGTTAAATCTGATAATCTGTTCATTTAATTATCTCATTAATACTAATTTAAAATCAATTTAAAATGTCCATGTATGGTAGAGAAATCAGTTAAGTCCTTGTTAGTCTGGGGACAAAGAATTGTTTCATTTTTATATATTTTATTTTCCTAAATATATTTTGAGATGCCAGGCTTCACACAACCTTATATAACTCTTTGATAGTTGCACTATGGGGTAGAAACTCTTTCTATAGACTTCATATATTTAACTAGTCATTCAAAACTAAGTTCATATTATCAGATTCAGAACAGAGAGGCTCTTTAAGAATCTAGATCTTTCTGAGTACAGAGAAAAGATACAAACAACAAGATTTCATCTCTCCAAATCATTACTAGGGTGGATGGACGATGATCCTTCTGTCCCCATTCCCTTCCACCAGCTATCTATAGAGTCTAATTATTTCATAGAATCTTTAATACTCAATGTATCTTTGATTTTCAGGACATAATCTAACTAATTGTATGTATGGCTATAACACAGACTCCAGCACATGATGACAAACTTTATTTTAAAGGTAAAAAGCTAACAAAAAGACAGTTCTCATTGGTCAGTTACCTTTCCCTTTTGCTGGAATGCAAAAGATAATTAATAATAATAATAATTTATTTCTTAAAACTGTGCTTAATATATGACTCAGCACTGTTTACATAATTATAAAATTTAAAACTACAAAGATTAGTTGAAAGGATGTTCACATCTTGCTGACATTTCATAGTAAACAGTAGATAATTTAGTGAATTGTTTCTATAGAGACTTAGAGTGCATTCCCAGAGATTTAGATCGATCCATCCGAATCAACCTAACTCCCTGGGGGTTCACGCTAAATTGCAGTCAGCCGAGTGTGCATGACAGTTAATTACCCCCTTACAGCTTTTAGTAGGCGGGACAGATATTTAAGCCAGCTAAGCTGACAGTGATCTAGTGAGACTCCCCACGGGGATAGATCGATCTAAAATATGTGGGAATGGGGTCTTAGACTTTCTACATGTATCACCATAACACAAAAGACAATTAAAAGCTTATATTGCTTTTAATAAAAATATATATATATATATATATATATAAAGACTACGATTTTTTATTATCTTTACACAAGGAGAATGAAAAACCTATTTCACTGCATAATAAAAGTGTTATCCTAATTCCAGTTCAAAATTCCTGAAGGCTCAAACCTTTTTCTCACTTATGGTGCCACACATGCAACAGAGGTATGGTCATTATTCACATAAGTCAAACACAACATATTACAAATAAATTGAAAATTTTATCCCTCCTTAACAAACAAGTAAATTTTATAGATACTTAAGATAGATACTTCACAGTCACCTTTATTTGGGATCATCTTTAATACTTTGTATAGAAGAATACATTTTCATTCAGTAATTACCATATTGATGACAAGAAAAGTTTCAATGAGCATGTTCTTGTACTGTAACATTTACATGATTAATGATATTGGGATTCAGCCAAAGTTTCGGTAACACTGTACCCAAACAATTCAATTACATAATCAAAGATTACAAATAGAAAATAAAGAAAGACAAAGTCTGCTCTTTCTGGAATAATGGGTTTGTTTTGCCTTTTGTACCTTTATCCTAATGTTCTGCCTTATTTGGGGTGCCAATGATCCATAGGATTGACAAATAAATTTTCACAGGTTTGACAACCATTATTTGCCTGAAAAAACATCTACTATTATTACATGCAAGACTAGTTAAAATCAGTTTCATATTTACCATACCTTTGAAATGTACAGTTATTCTACCTTAGCCGTTAAAAATATTTGCAGAATGTCATATAGNCACATAATTTGCATAATTTATGCTAATTAATGTATCGATAGAGGGCGTCTCTTTGGATAAAAAATTTTCTTTTGGCCCAAGGAACATTTATGCCAAGTTAGACATTTGTACTACAAAATGCAGCGTTTGGCCATTTTTTGGTCCTTAACAAGCCTACTCATAGTTTTATTGTGTATTTCCATTTAATGCAGTGGAAAAAAACTATAAGCATCTTGCACATTTTAATGACATAAACATCACATTAGTCTATGATATGAAAGGTTGAAATTTTTAATAAAAAAACTAATGATGCTTTCGGCCAATACCATCCATTTTTCTGAGTGTAGGTTACAAATTCAAATTACAAACTTTGTAAGATCAACTTGGAAAATCAGACTATAGTGTTGTGAATCAAGACTGCAGTGGCAATTATTTGAATTATTTTTCTATAATTATCATATGCTTTTCTACTTGTCTTATCTATAAAATTTGGAAACGGGTTTTGTACAAAGAGCAATTTTACCTCTTCTTATCAGTCTTGCTGCGAACATTTGGAAATTTTAATTAAAAGAAGACAAAAAATAAAAGTGGAATGGTCACTAACTTCCTGGCATGGCTAAAGTAATTTACAAAGTCATCATGCATGCTACTGCCTAATTAAAATAGTGGTCTTTCTGAAAGGTCCTGATCTCAACATCGTCAATGACTTCCAAATGTTTTGTCTTTGGGGTTTTGTAATACCTGAAATAATTCACTCACTTGCATATGGACCTGTTCACACATAAGCAAAAGATAAACTGAAAATTTCAGAACTACATTATGTCAGTGCTTTGCAGGGTGTGATTTCAACCAAATAATACCAAATAATATTTGGCTAAATGTGATGCCATTAAGAACACGTTAATATGATGCTCTGACACTGGTTACAATGGATTACAGTGAGGATGTTTAGTGTCATTATGACCAAATCATATACCATTTGGTTAGCCCTGTCTTAACACAACTGTTATTCATGTACACATTTTTCACAAGCATAAGAAGAAAATGTGAGCAATGTGTTCGAAATGGCATTATCCTCTGTGCACACAGGTCAGGAAGGAAGCCTTTCAATAGGAAACAAGAACCGAAGTTGATAATTGTACTTCTTTTGTAGGTTATCACCTCCATCTATGTTACCCAACTGTCTGAATTCTAGGAGCACTTAATCGTCCGCATTTTTAGGAAGGTAAGAATTCCAAAGTTTATTTTAAATTTGTTTTTTTTTTTATCAAAAATATATGTAACTTCACTATTTTAAGCCTGATTTCCCTAACTGAATATGATAAATAGTATGGTAATGACTTGATTTTTTTCAATGGGAAATTTGATATAATAAAAAAAAGTCATATTCTGTATAGCTAGACATGGGGAGGGGGGTTTGGAGATAATGGAGTTCAGTAGGACCTGCATGAAAAGAAATCTGCAGGTCATCCTAATTTTATGCAATTCCCTTAGTTGATGTTTACGTATAATTCATTTTTATGTATTGTATCTCCAAATTTACCTTGCCAGTCCAGACAACCTGCATTATCAAAAATCTTGCCGGTTCTCTAGTTTTTCAGGTGGTAATGACCAACAGTTTCCTTATGTCTGCTATAGCATTTTTGGTGCTTTTACTGTATAAAAAAAATCATAGTGTAGGCTGCTTTTAATTTTTGTTGCTACCATTGAACAGGAATATTCTAATTTTCTTATCTAAAGAATTTTAATGTTTACAAAAATACAGTATCTGTAAAATTCACAATTTTTCTTATGGAATATACTGGAGTCATTACCATGTGTTCTAATTAAAGATATCTTGCACATGGACAATAATTTTTATGTTTTTATACCCTGTTTGCCAAAATCAGGCTACTTTATGTAAAATCTGTGGCAACAGACTGTTCATCACACCTTTATCACAGCATTATCTACCTAACTGATTCCTATCTACATCCAGTTAGGATTATTGAGTTAATTATGATCCAAAAACATGTCTCTGCACCGCAACAGGCACCTTAGTACAACGACAGCCCTACCTGTTCCAGATTTGTTGATCAGCATTCTTAGTCCCTAAGAATATGCCACATATGAATAATTGATTCACAAAATTAGAAAATGGAGGTAATAACTTTATTAAAGCCACGTGATAATATGTTTCAGTGTATATACTGTAAAAATCTTAATTTGTTTTGCTTGTGACTAGAGATATCTGTTTGTCACACTCATCACTATATAATCCACTGATGGCAATGAAAAACACTTTTTATTTGAAAATAATCCATACAATATTTGATGTAATGTCCTTGAGATGACTGAATAATAATAATAATAATAATAATAATAATAATAATAATTGGATCAACAAGACACCTATCGTACCTAACACCTATCAGATTTCTTACTTTCATTCCCTTAGGACTTGAGAACATATCTTTAAACTGCAGTCAGAATGTTACATGTCTCTTTGCAGAATTGTTAAAAGCTCACAAAATACCTCAAAACTTTTCACTTCACATTAAAACAACTACATTTTATTGATATTCAAGCAATTAACAGGGTTTATGTACATGTATGATATAAAACAAATCTATTCAAAATAATCTCATCCCTATTGTTTTTTATGCATATGATTGTCCTTGGTAGTCCAAATTACCTGTAGTCCAAATAACATTTCTTAATTCTAAGCAATTTATAAAAAATCAGTTTTTGATCCAAAAAAAAAAGGTTTTACCTTCTTGGTCTGTCAATCTCACAATGGGCATGAACATGACAGTGCAGCAGTTTCTTGTCAAACGCTGGACAAACTTTCCATGTCTTGTCGCAGTTGTCACCAGTGTATGAAAACTGACAGGAGCCAGGCTTGCACTTTCCATCACCATCGATAGTATTGTGACAAGTCCCCTCAATGCATGTACAAGCTGTAAAAATTAATAATAATAATTATAATTCTATAAACTGTGATAGAAAAGTACTTTGTTGTTTAAGATATCAAGCATTTTTTATGTTTCATCATGAAACAAGAGACAATGAAAAACCCACTAAGGGACCATTCCCAGAGATATCGTACTAACTTTGGATCGATCTATCTCCAAGGGGATTCTCACTAAATTGCTATCAAATTAAGCGGCTTAAATGTCTGTCACGCCTACTAAAGCTGTTAGGGGGTAATTAACTACCAGAGGCCAAGCATACACGAAAGTCAATTACCCCCTCACTGATTCGATAGGCCTGACAGACATTGAAGCTGCCTAAGTTGATAGCAATTTAGCATGAATCCCCATGGAGTTAGATTGATTCTAATGGATCGATCTATGCATGGGAACCCCGTTTAATTAACGTTTAATTAACTGATTGATTTATATCTTTAAAAATGACTTTATTAAAAGGACTTTATTAACAAACACTTTTAAATCTACATTATGTCAGACTGATGTGAGTAGATGTTGTTACTCACGTACTGATCACTAGGTGGTATAGTGGCCAGGGCCCTCTTATAAAATGTCAGATAGATCAACCCCTCCCCCCCCCCCCCCAATCCCAATTCATGGCCGCTTTACCACCTAGCAGTCAGTGAGTAACAACATATCTGATGAAAGCCTACATCCAGGCCATAAGCTAATGGCATTAAAGTTTTTTTTGGGGGGGGGTTGTGTTTTATCATTTTCATTTATGACCCAACCACCAAGCTAATGAACATTTTTGCTCATGATATTCCTAATGGTTCTTCAGTTTTTTTAAATTAAAATTCAATACATTTATATTTATTTTTGGGAGCAGGGAAAAGGGTGTCTCTGCATTCTTTACTCTCTTTCTCTTCTTTTTTTTTTTTTTTTTTTTTGTTTTTTTTTTAGAAGCTTAGCAAAGCATCAATTTTATATTATATCATTTATTTGGCAAGTCATAGTCTCCTCTGGCAATAGAAAGAGCTTTTACCCTCCAAATAGATCCTTATGTCCTTATGTATATACAGTGAATACAGAGGTATCAGAAATTATCTTTCCTCTTCAGTGCCCTTCTAGGTGGTAAGGATCACGAGGTCTTGTAGTATCTTTGTTAACCTTTTAGATTAGAACTTCTTATCAAGATTGGGATACAGGAATACTGTGACCTTGGGAATAAACATATTATTTATTCATCCATCAGGTTTATTTATTTGATTAGGCATTTATCTATTGCTTCATTTATTGCTTTATCTATTCATTTATTTCACTTATCCATTTATTATCTCCTTATCTAGTCATTTATTCATATGTTCATCTACTTATTTATCAATCAAAATTACTTGTATATTGCAGAGAGCAACCTGTTGTACCTCTGACATTTCCAAAAGAAACATTTGTTCATTTGTATGCTGATTTTAATAGTTATCTTAATTTCCCTTACTACCTGGTATACAATTTTTCAATGTACATTTCTAATCCTGCTAAAAAAACTTCTTTTTTAATAAATCTTAATGCACTTCTACCAGAACTAAATTTTTGTCAGTGTCAAATCTTAAAATCTGCAGTTCAGTTAAAAAAACATATTAAAGGTATTCTAAACTAAGTTTTCCTGCTCAATCAAAGTTGCCCTGAAAATTTTAGCAATTTATTTTCACAATTCATAGCTTGTTACCCTTGGATTTGATCTTTTAAGCCATTTGTATAGTTTAATTATTCAGTTTTAAATGACTGGCCAGTCATTTAATCTGACAAGTCTCCCTCCATATTTAATGAAGAAATATCAACATCAGGTGCTTATATTTGATGAGTTTATCATTTGTATGGTCTGAATTTGGAAAGCTTTGCAGAATATATGTTAACTGTGTGACTTTTTCAAAAGAGGAAAGTACACGTATACCTATAAAACCATTCATTGGTGCAGGTCGAAGTAGGGCAGTCTTCCCAGGTTCATTTAAAATGACTTCTTAAAACAAGGAAATGTTATGTCACTGAAGACCACCAAAAATGCCAGTAATTTACCTGATGCCAACAAAAAGCTGAGGCAGATGTTTAATTGGCAAACTAATAACCTATTGAAAACCTTTTCACACCTGTTGACATCTTCCACACTGGGATAAATGAAGACAATGCATGCTGGACAGGGTTACATTGCATGCAGTGCTTGACAACTCCCTTTAATTAGTCTAGCTAGCCTTTTAGCAAAGGGCAAGACAGCAGGTGGCACTTAGACAAAGTGTAAAATTAATTTACCTCTGCTGTGATGAGAATTTATTATTCAGAGAAGCTGGCCTAAACATAAAACTTTGAATCTTTTTGTCTTTTTCTTTATACATCTGTCGTATCATGCCACTGTTATGTAGCATTTAAGCTTGAAACACAAATTCACACCTTTCAAACACCTTTCTTGGTCTACTTGTACAACAGCACTCAATTGTACCAAATTCTGTTAAGTGCAATATGTAAATAGGGGCCCTCTGAATATTATTTTCATAGTCAAGGGTACCAGTATCTGTAAATTAAGCAAGTATTCTGCAATTTGTCTGGCAGATCAACAGGTAAGCCTTTGAACCACATGACGCCCTGTTATTTATTTATTTATTTATTTATTTATTTATTTATTTATTTATTTATTTATTTATTGTGAAGTGGGTTTTCAACTAACTTGTTGCACAAGTATTTAATATGTGTAAACTATCTGCTTGGATATTACTGACACACTGCCCATGTAACAATATCTTATTTAATTACCTTAAGCTTGTTAATGCAAGCTGAAGGGACTTACTGCTTGATAAACAGTGTCAAAACAACAGTTTGACGTAATTTCTATGACTTACTGCTTGATAAACAGTGTCAAAACAACAGTTTGACATAATTTCTATCCGGATAGGCACACGCACGCACACTCACACAAAGATACACACACCACATGAGTCTTAGGCCTGCTTTCACAACTGTACTTGCATGATTATTCAGTCTCTTGCAGACAATAAATGACTCTATCAATCTGTGAAACTCAAAACATGACATTTATGCAGTGTACTTCAAAGAAATGGTTCATTTTCAATTATGTTATACTACTCTGTGCTTTTATAACATATAAATTGTAACTTGCTTAAATAATAAAAAAAGTTTGTACCAGTACATATAGCAGTTGGAATTTTTTGACTTAAGCTAATGGTGATAGAATTTAAATATATAAGTCAAGGGGAAGGCACCTGACTGATTAAGCATAGGGGGGTGATAGGTTGTCACATATATCTATTACAGTCCGTTGGAAGTGAATGGAGTTTGATCATCAAAATGCGATGTGTATAGGCCTTGTTAGATTACATCCCACAAATACCAATAGTACACATGTGCACCCAGTACACTTCATTACACCTAACTGTAAAAGTTGCATCATTATGTTGCTACTGGGGAATTCAGTTAATCAGTGAAGATAGCTCAATTAATGTCCCACATGGCTGAGAAACTAAAGAGTACAAGTTGATTTAATTTGTTGGCTATGTCTGGTACAGCAGGTAAGAAAAGTGATAACGACACAATCTCATTACTGTATTTAGGCTTCCTTCAGTGGCAGCACTCCAGATAGCTTAAATTCACAGGCCTATAGACTTATGTCTGTTTGTGTGTGTGAGTGTGTGTGGGGGGGGGGGCACAAAAAA